ACCCTGACCCGACGGGTTTTATCGAATTAGGACTCGTGTCATAAAAATGATAAACCTGACTCGAGAAAAAATTTGAGTCAGGTCGATCAACCCGGGTCAACTCGACCGGCTCGGAGCACTAGAAAGGGATACAATTTGAATCAATTATCAAATAATCTGACGAAAAATCGATTTAATGTCATTTTAAATTCGAAATTATCTTCATGTTTTTTGTTTTAATTAAAAGATGTATACATAATAAAATTAATTCTTTTGCCTGTCTGCTGATGATGGTTCAGAGGCACTACTTTTTTTTTTTACTCCCAGAAAGAGATTGATAAATAAAATGTAAGTATTACTTGAAAATTTATTTTATGATATTTAGGCATTATAACTCAGAAGAATCGTTTTTTGAATGCTAAAAAGCTGTTGATATGGAACAAACCTTACTTCCTGTATATTTTTGAAACTTAGCCAGAAAAAACACCAACTTGGATACCTGACTGATCATTGTTTAGAAGTTGAAAATAATAATAACTTCTGCTTTTAGTTCACCAGCGATAATTAAATACTTGTTTTATTGGTTCGTCCTGATCAACAGGCGCGTCTTTTTAATTCGAAAATGGCATAGGTTGTTTAAATTCCTATATCTTTGATATGTGAATGAAGCGCAAACGATTCAATAACAACTCATTTCAAGAAAATTTGCATGTCTCAAAGTACATATTATTTTAATTGACGTGTCTCGACACCAAGAATTATATAAATTTATGTGTAAAACTTGATATAATCATTAATTTTATAAGTCATAAGAATTCATGTTGAAATTATATTGTGATAATTTGTAAAGAAACGTTTAAATAATAGAATACTTAACAAATATATAAATAATTTAAAACGAACAAAAATCTAATTGAAATAAAGAAATATCTTATAAATGTCTCTCAATTCTAAATTTAGGGCTAACCCAAACTTCATAATCTTTCTCGTTGTTAATATCACCAAACATTTTCAATGCTCTAACCCTAATAAAATATTTCCCGTTGGAAACAGGTTCGGAAAGAATAAATCCATCCCATGAAATTATTTTTGGTATTTCTAATATGTCTTTTGGAAAAGGAAAATATTTTTTATCATTTTCCATTGATCCTAAAAGATGATGATTAACATCAAGTATCTCAGTAAAAACCGCTTGTGTCGGAGTTGTAAAATTAAGATGTATAGATGGATAATCACGTAATCCACTTGTAATGTTAAGGAGTTTAAAGGTAAATGTTTTAATTGGATCCTTCTTTTGGATAGATTTCTTCAAATCGTAATCGTAAAGTGCAGGAAATTTAGGTGTCTGAAATAATAGAAGCGATCTTGCATCGTCGGCTAACCCAGCTATATAAATAAAAAGTTGTAAGGAATTATTAATAGAGAATAAAATATTAAGTAATTACAAAAATGATGATTCATGTACAGGAATTAATTTACCATAGGGAACGGTCAATTTAGGCTTGTTCTCATCTAAAGGTATTATCTCTAACCAACCACTATAAAAATAATGTTTGTCCTTGGGCAGATCTTTTGGTAACATAAAAGTTACAGAAACGTCAACACTTGAACCAGGTGGTACAGTAATCTGATAATTATCAAATTTAACACTAGCATACTGTCGTGTATAATACTCCAACTGATAATAATTTCTTATGAAAGTTTTATTATATCCATTGACACTCGGAGCTGGTAAATGTGATAGTTTGTATTTCATCTCTTTTCTGTCAACATTATAAATAGTTAATTTGCGATTTCCATTAAAATGAACCGTGTCATTCAAATTAATTTTTGGCGGATAGGCAAAGCTGGTTGCTGTCAACATATTATAAGCATCGACGAGACCTGCACCTTGACGAAGTACCGAAGCCATTAATTTATTACGTTCCTCACGAGGAATAGCATAATTCATTAATGCAGTTTTTAGTTGTTCGGAAAACTGTTGTTGATTTTGCTTTCTAAATTCTCCAAATACTTCAGTATACAATGCCGCTACGCCTGCTATATATGGCGAAGACATACTTGTTCCAGACAGTATTCTATAAGTCGAATTATTAACCGGAAAAGCCGAAAATATTAAACCTCCAGGTCCACAAATTTCAGGCTATTGAAGAATTTTTTAAAAAGTAAAGTTTACGCATGTTAAAGATTTTTTCTTTTTTTACTTTAGTCGATAAATTTCTTACCTTGATATCTAAGTCCTCAGTTAAACCCCAACCCGAAAATACAGAAGGAGTTTCAGCAAATGGATGAGGTTTTATATATCCGTGCTTATCGGAAAAATCTAATTCCAAATTAGGATTTTTTTCGAGATATTTAATCAACATATCGGCTTCTTTTGTATTAATAACCGCTATGGGGGGCGCTGGCAAAGTTCCTTCTTTAAATTTATCATTGATTACAATTACCCCAAGAAGCTTCGTCTATAAACAAAATATTTAAATTTATCTTCAAATGAAAAATTAAAAAAAAAAATAAATTAAATAAAGTTTTTAAATGAATTAACTTACAGCATCAATAACTTGTGAACATTTGTTTTCAACTCTATTATCTTTGATTATTATTGTATTTTTAAAATCTTTGTAATCATGTATGCATTTTTTTTGGAAGCAATTTAATCTTAGCATTTTGAAAAGGAAATGCTGATACATCTTGTGTCATGTAATCTATGTAAATAAATATAAAAAATTTGGTTCAATGTTTTATTTTTTTTACGGATGGAATTTGCAAATTTAGATAAATTTATATATATTTACTAATAACAAACTTTGGATTCTTCGGATCAAAGGCTTTAAAAGTTATAACTTTATTTGTTTCAAATGAACCAACTCCAATAACTTGTTGAGAATTAGCTGGCATTCCAATAGTAAATAAACCGTTTCTACCACCTATATTTCCTATTGATGCTACGAATATTGTTCCTTTATATTTGACCAAATCATTGATCAACGTTACCACAAAGGTTTTCTTGCTATCAACCCTTCCCTACAAATTTTGAAGTCAGTACATGTTTTATTTAAAACAATAAAATAAATAAAAAAATTCATTTACTTACAAGTGACATATTTATGACGTGCATTCCATCATCAACAGCCTTCAGAAAAGCTTTCATTATCGTAATATCGGTAGCTTCATCTTTCATACAAGGAAATATTTTATATGCTCCAAAAATAACATCAGGTGCTACCCCCACAAATCCAGAACCGTTAACCCTTAGATCACCTCCAACAATTGCTGCTACATGAGTTCCATGTCCAAAACAATCATAAGGATCATCATTATCATCAACAAAGTTATACCCAAATGCTACTCTACATCCTGGTCCATAACACCCTCCAAGTGCGGGATGTGTATAGTCAATACCTAATATAAAGAGGATATGAAATGACAAATAATAAAAGTTTTCGTGATTTAGTTAAAAATAAACAAAATACCTGAATCAATGATTCCGACTTTAACGCCTTTTCCAGAAAGTTTCAATTCTTCGTGAACTCTTTTAACGCCAGTCATTTCATGAACAGAATTGACGTTATCAGGTAAGTTCGTATAATCGTAGGCACGTTGATTAAATTTTTTTTCATTTAAATTTATTCGTTTATAAATTTTCTAAAAGTGAATTTGTTAATGATATCGGTATACTGCGCCATATGGGAATCTCCTGCCACGAATTTCTTACCACAATATCTACACTTTCAACGTGCTCAATTTCTGCAATTCGTTTTACATGGTGTTCATCGGTCTCGATGCTAATTCCGTTAGCATATCGTTTGAATACATCTTTAATTTTAATATTGATCCAAAGTTTATTTAGCTCTTTGTGAAAATTGACATGCTGGGCATCAATATGGTCAACAGATGAATCAAACGGCGAAGAAGTGAATTTAACATAATAATGATTTGCGCGAGTTTCATGTAAGATTGCTCTAGCATAAGTCCAATTGAAAAGAAATAGAAGAAAAGTTAGACAGACTATAGGATGTTTTTGTATGTTGAATCTCATCGTTACAAGGTAAAAAGTTGGACTTTACTTTTTTTGTTCTAAACGACTCGCATCTTATATATTATTTTTCTTTTTTACGTGTAACCATCCCATCCATGAGGACATAAAAAAGGCAGTGGCAATGGCATTAGCGATTACCCTTTTGATATGATGATTTCAATTTTATGAAATTGCTTAATTAGAACTTACAAAGATAAGTTGACAAAGTTCTATTCAGCTTATTGTTAATCTTTAAAACTCGTATGTTGTATTGTTGTTCTTTTTAATCTATTAAAAATAATATATAGACCCTTTCCACCGATTTTTATTTTATTATAATCGCAATAAGCCAATATGCAGGTTTATGTTGAACTTCACAAAGAAAAAAAATAAAACTGATGTATGTTATGCATAAGAATATAACAATGGTTTTCGTTCACAGATATAAAAATTTGAGATTTGATAAATCACGTGACAAAAAAAATTTTTTTTTTATTCACCTTATTTTATATTATGACGCGAAATAACAAGAATAAAAGATAACCGGATCAAAAAAACCGCACCACTGGCTGATATCTTATTTACGCTGCTTTTTGTTGATTGCTTCATCTCGCGAACTCAAATTACCTTTTTAGGGTACTTTATATTCCCGCTTTTAGGTATGTCTATTATTAGTTCATCGTACATCTTTATTATTTTGGTTGTCTCTATAACAAATAGTCATAATTCAAAATATAGAAGGAAATTTATTTGTGGCGCATTTAATAGTTACTAATTTCGAAACATCATTATTGTAATATTTTAAAACTCCCCTCGTACACATGATTTTATATGCTAAATGTGACGTCATAGTTTTATAACTAACGCACAGCAGATTATTTATATAAACTACAAAAAGAAATTTTTATTTCTATACGCGTTGTTTTTAACACCTATACCTATTTCCCCCTCCCCCACAATTATTACGATTCTTGCTAAAAATCTCCACTAGATACAAGTATGCAAATTCAATTTCCTCCTAAAGCAAGTTCCTCTCAACAAGTTTCACATCCAAATTTGGAAAAATTAAAGAATATCATTCGTTTCAATAAAGAAAGTGAATGAACTACAAACGCGGACTAGGCTTTTACCGGTTGACCGACTTTCTGACCGACCGATCGAAGTAAATTTCGCCTAAAGGCCTACAAAACTATGAAAACTTTGCGGAAAAAAATCAAAGGCTGTAACTGCTCTTAAATCTACTAATGTATCCATCATTTTCTGGTTCATTTATTATATCAAATCGCGGTCGTAAACAACCAATACCGACCGAATATAATGAAAATTGCAATCCAAAGAACTTGGTTTGATGGTAATCTTTCACTTTACTTTTAATAAGTGACAATTTCCCTAAAAAATCTTGATTTATTTCCTATTTAAAAGAACCGATCATATCGCGGGCATTAATATATGTTTCTTTACCTTTAGATGAATGAAATGGCCTCGACGGATACTGAGCTTTCAATTTCTTAAGAGAACGGAAAATCAAAAGCATCACTAAAATAAAAGGACCACGTTTTTTTTATTTTGCAGAAGGGGGGGGGGGGGGGGGGTAATTCTTAGTTGATTCAGGAGAATTACTGGAATTTCACACTCCAGGAGTTCTTAATAGATTGTTATTTCATCGACTTGATGTTATGGTATTGATTTCGGACATATTGTTCATCATAAACACTTCATGAACAGTCCAAATAACCTTACCATTTAAGGACCGCTTGGATTGTCCGCGGTCTAATAATTTTAAACATTTAGCAACAATAGCTTTAACATTATCATCCCCTTCACTATAGGAATGGGTTAAATGACGCCGACCGGCGCCAATATGCATTAATAAATATAGCATTAAATTTATTATTGCAAAGAATCAAGTACGTTCTTTGGTGGATTGGCGGAGGGTCTGCTGATACAGACGAACTCTTGAAACAAAAAAGATTTCGAAATACTTACCGGTCACATCTATGTTCATGTCATCATAAGTTGCCACGTAAGTTTTAGTACAGTATGTAAATTTTCGCTACTTTCGTATTATTTACTCAACACGTCCTCGTTTTTAGTTCTAAGTCTGGAAGAAGCTTTATCGTGTATTCCGTCACCCATCACATATTCTCCGGAGAGTAATAAATCGAAGGCTACTAAAAGGTCAATGATAACCCGCCGACAAGAGTGTGCTTCTTTGGGAAGACTTTTTCGAGAAAGTAAATCGTTTCCGCTTCGACCAACTAGGATTGGAATCGATTTCGATATTTAGAATCGAATATAATCGATCGATCCATTGAATTTTGTGCTTTAGAACACCCTAGATAGATTAAATTTAAAAAAAAATAGGGGTATATTGTATATACGCAAATTAAAAAATATAAAAATAAAAAAAATTAAATATTAAAATAAAAAAAAAATAAAATTATAAAAAAAAAAAAAAATCGCGGTTATTTGCAATTTTTTTTTGTTTTTGTAGAATTAAAAAAAGAATACATCGGAAAAAAAATTAAAATCAATTAAACTAAATCAAATTTCAAATTTAAAAATTAAAATTAATAAAATAAAAAATATCAATCCGAAAATAAAAAAAATAAAGTAAATTAACGGTATAAAAATATTTTATATTAAAAAATTAAATTAATAATATAAAAAAATTACATCAATTACGTTAGAATTAGGATTAAAAACACCAATGATGAATTAGCGTTAAGATGGTTAGAGTTAGAGTGGGTTGGATTATTTATAAAAAAAACATCAGTAGGTTGTATTATTTATTTTAAATTTTCTTTGTTATAGATATGCTAAAACTTAAAAAAATTTTTTCAACACTATTTCATGTCGTGTTAGCGAAACCCCGGAGAGTAATAAATCAAAGGGTCAATGGTGACCCGCCGACAAGAGCGTGTGCTTCTCTGGGAAGACTTTTCGAGAAAGTAAATCGTTTCCGCTTCGACCAACAACCGGGATTCGGAAGGCCATTAAATTTAAGACGTTACAAATTGTATTACTTGTTCTTTTTTCAAAATATAATCTTTTGAATAATGAGATCATGTCATCAAGGTGTTGGATGTCGGTTAAATGAACCAATCCCTAATTTTTCAATAATATTACTAATGCATTCGTTTTGTAATTATTGAAATTAACATTTATTTTGCCAAATTAATGAAAACCGATCATATCAAGTTCGTTATGTCAATAATACAATTACAGATGAAACGAATTTTGTACTTTCAAAGAAAATTAAAAAAAAAACTTAAAAGAAATTATACAAGGAAATAACATTGTACCCAAAACATCTGAACATGATTTAATTATTGTTAAAACTCTTAATCTTCAAATAAAAATTTATTACTTTCAAAAAAAATATCTCTCTCACAAATCGAAAATATTGACCAACAATTGAAAAAGGACAACGCTTCAAACCTAGAAGTGTTTCGAACGGGTGACAAAGGAATATTAAGAATAAAAATTTTACGAGCACGTTACTAATGCATTTTTCAAAACTTCTCTTTTTAATAAATGTAATGACTTAATTAATATAAAATTTTTTTTTTTTGTTTTTTTTAGTAATGAATTTTCAAAAGAACCCACTAAATAATTTTGATTTCAACACAAAGATTTATTGATTTCACGTGATAAATATTAAAAAATATACAAATAGATATAAATCGAAATAATAGATCTCTTCATTTTGAGGACCACTCCTTGAGCGATACATGATGCTTGTATTTTCCCTGGTAGAGAATCGTTTTCTGCATCGGTATGACTCCTTGGAACTCGTGTTTTAGTACGTGATTTTTTCCCCCTTTTTAATATATTCTATAACTTTTTGCTTAGAAAATTAAATGATATTTGAATATCTTAAGGATTTAATCGCGCACCTAAAGTACATTTAAAAGTAATAGAAATCTAAAATAACGTTAGCAAAGATCGTGCCGAGTCATTTCCTAAAAGCACCCTGGATTCGAGTTTTATGTTAGGCGTCGACCGCAACACTTCGAGGCAGTATGAACCGGGTACATACTCACACAAAGGACAAATCCAGGGGCTTGCTAACAATATATGTTAAAACATACCTATTCACCCAAGAACGTTGAACGTGTTTTTTTTTTTTAAAAAAAAAAAAAAAAAAAAAAAAAAAAAAAAAATGCCGTAACTAAAGTGCATTTAAAAGCAATAATAAACGTTAGCAAAAATCGTGCTGAGTCGTTTTATAAAATCGCCCTTGATTCGAGTTTTATGTTGCAACATTTCGAGGCAGTATGCTCTCGTTGACAAACATTAACATACTTGTTTAAAGAAAATTCCAGGGACTTGCTAATAGTATATGTAAAAAAATACCTTTTCACTGAGGACATTGAGCGTATTTCATGCCGAGTAATTTCCTATAAACATTCTGGCATGTTATGCAACGACTTTACATTTCGCAACGCTTCCGAGGTAGAATGTTCAAAATTTAAACGTATGTCACAATCTTTAAACGACAAAAAAAAAAAAAAAAAAAAAAAAAAAAAAAAATTAGGGGTATTTATATTACAAATAACAGACAGGCTTTATGCTGAGTAAGCTGCGTCTAAACATATGTTGGACTAGCATACATGCTACACAAGTAACCAAAAGCTAACTTAGCATGATTTCCGAGTAAATAAAACGTGGTTTTGACATGAGTAAAATTTTTATCCGGTGAAAAAAAAAGCCACCAAAATATTAGGTTACGTTGTACGATTTTCAATGTAAATATTTTACAATAAAAAAATGATCGTCTTATCACATGACTTTTTAGGAAAACCCACTAAATTCGACAATATATTACAATTATGAGGGCTCAGCTATGGAGGACTTGGTGAATATCAGTGAAATTGAAAATATGAATAGGTCTTTTATGATGGTTCAGGGAGAATAAATAATAATAATATCATCATAATCTTATAATACAAAATTTTCTGAAAGTTTTGAAATTAATTACAGCTGTTAATACATCAATTCTAATAGCGTTGTTATGAAGGACGAGCTCGAGAAAACAAGAAATTAAGGTTTTAGTATATTATTAGAGAATTAATTTTTAATTATTCAAGTAGTCGGAAAGAGTAAATTACGAAAGCATTAAATTGATGGATCCAGACACGTAGTTATCAACGATATATTCGACGAAAGATTTGAACTATATTTGATTATGTAATCTAATTTGATCACAAGGATTACTTAAAAAAAAATGATTTAAGCATGAATAATATCAAAGAAGAATTATATGGACTATGTTCTCATTGCAAAACAACCAAAAAGCTGTATCCTAAATGTGACTTTCAGAAATTGATTGATGAATTTTCGAATTTGACTAGCAGAAATGAAGACATTTCAAAGTACTCAAAGAAATGCGACATCCTACGCTTCATATTTAGAATGGATTCCTTATAATAGATTTGAAAACGTTGAATACCATAAAAGCGGTTGGCATGGACCATCATATGTTGCAAATTGGAAGGATGGTGAAAGATTGGATGATATTTGGAACAATGATAATACCCAAGACAACGTAATCACATTCAAGCTACTATTAAATCCTTTAAAAACTTGGATGTTAAATATTTTATGAATGAGGTAAATATACAAAATAATTGCTTTATTTTAATTATTATTATTTTGTTTTTAATCATTAATATTCCTTTATTTCAATAATAGTTAAAAGTCAACATCAATTTATGACAAGCGGTAGAAGATTCTTTAGATTATATGGTGTCAGGATCCGGAAACATACTGTATGCAGCTGATGGCGGTTTAAGAAATGTTTTGCAAATAATAAAGTTTCATGGTATAAATTATAAATATTATTGATTACATCTTGCTATAATTCATAAATTTACATCCTGAAAATGTGTATATCTAAGTGATTTTGGCTTATGTAAAATATGTTAACAACGTGGAATCAAACTTGAATGGGATCTTGCCATATATAGCTCCTGAAGTTTTAAAAGAAGCAACGGCATACTCAATCTTCGGATATTTATAGTTTAGGTATGATAATGCTTGAAACCGGAATACCTCCGTACGATGGTTGATCTCGTCACAAGTCCTTAGCTTTAAAATTTTAAGAAGGATTTCGCCCTGAAATTACTCAAGAAATTCCACCCTTGTTCATAACCTCAAAATTTTTGTCTATTTTCAAAAAATTTTTATGATCTTTATCTACCTAAATATATTTAGTTAAAAAAATTAATTGTATTAATTAAGTATATTGTTCAATAAAATTTCGAAATGATATCCCGTGATGCTGACACGCAGAATTTTAAACATAAAAATACTTATTAAAAGAATATTGATTTTTATGCTAAATAAAAAATAAATTGGAGTAGCAGTAAGATCAAACCAGTTACGCAAATTTTTCCGCCGGAGTGGAGTTCGGTGCTATTGTTATAAAAAATAATTTTAATATACTAAATAAAGAGTTCGACTCTACAACTTTTTGTACTACCTATAAAACTATATATGGGCGCTGCAGTAGAAAGGGAGGAAACTACCAAAAAAAATTTTTTTGGTAGTTTCCTCCATTTCTACTGCAAAGCGCTCATATGATTTTTAAAATAAATAAAAACCATATTTCTTTCATTATAACTGAATAAAATATCCTATTTTGTTACGCCCAGCATGATTTAACGGAACCGAACAATAAATTTTTCCACTCGAACTTCACTTTTTCACTTTCTTTACAATTTAACACGTAACAATATTAAAAACAAAAAAAAAATGTCCTCATCAGTAGAAATCGGACGAGCGCTCGAAGAAAAGAACGTTGACATATTAAAAGCTAAAAATGTGCAAGTGGAAAGGACCTGGTGAGTATTTCACTGTATTAATTTGTTGTCATTGGTATATCCGAAAGATACGATACTACTAGGTGCAAAATGTCTGGGAAATGAAAGCTCTTCGTGGCAACGGTTTAGTGAACGGTTCTTCCCAGTTTCCGAAATCCCAAATTCGGTAATTCCCTGGGGTATTGTAGTGAATAGGATATAAGGCTCTTTCTTCGTGGCCACAAAAAAAATGACTGAACGTTATTCTTGATTTTTGATGATGTTGACGCAATTACTCATTTTTTTATTTATAATTTTCACAGAGGCAAAGGGGATCAGGGGATAGATATGCGCGGGCGCATGAAGGGCCAACCATCTGCCGGGCAGTGCAAATCCTGGAAAGCAAGAAAAATAGGTATTTAATGGAATTTAATGAAAATTAATTATATCTAAATGAATATCATTTAATAAATATCTAAATATCTCAGGGCCTGCCGTGATCCGGGAGATGATAGGGGCGTTAGCAAATGAGCCTAGGGAGACGATCGGCGTGGAAGTGGGGTTGACTAGGGACTCATTTACCAGTGGGGCGGTTAAAGCGGCCGAACAAGCAGGGATACTCATAACCGATAGTGATCATCTATAGTCGCTGGTTGATTTAAAAGAGATATTTTTTATTTTTGTATTTTTATTTTTATTTTTATCATTTTGATGTACTATATAATTTCCAAAGTTTTTCCTCTAATAAAATTTAATACAAATCTGCTTTATCTTTCGTAACATTCTTTATGATCAATGTGTTATGTGACTTTGATATTTCACGCGTGGTGGGTTGCTTTTCTAATATTTTATGCACTACTTGTCACTAGTAAAATGATTGTGATCAAGTTTGTGATCAAAAAATATGTGATTTATTTTATTTCCGTTTCACAATTGTATTAATCAGAATTAAAGCATAAAAATATGATTTCTAATTCGCCACAACTTCCGATTAGCTGAAATTAATGTGGATTAGGGTTAGGCGTTAAAAAAAATCCTCAAAAAGCATTGATTTAAAGAGTATTCTTAAAAAAAAAAAAAATGAAATGAAAATAACTCAAAAGTTTCTTGAATAATTTTATTCTAAATTTTAAAGTAAAAATAAAATAGGTCTAAAAAAACAGACAGATCAGACTCTAATAGTTCGTTCTGATGCTGCTCCAGCATAGCAATTTAATGATGAAACTAAAGACTATAAGTTTATTGAATTTTAGGACTATTAAAAAAATAATGGTGTTGATGGTGTTGATGATGGTGTTGATGGTGTTGTTTATGATGATGATGATGATGATGATGATGATGGATTGTCTCATAAATAAAAAATTTTAATTATCTATTTTTATTAATTAATAATTTTATGGATTCTAGGTACATTAAATAGTAGGTAATTGTTGGTGTGGTTTATGATAACGATTGATAAATGGCATTTTTAATTGCCTTGTTATAATATACTTTTTTATTAATTAATAATTTTATGAATTCTAAAAGGTTTAATGTATCGTTTTTATAAGATATTTTAGGAAATGAGTGAAATATTTCTAGTTTCTATTTAAACTATATGACGGACGCGTGTATTTCTTAGATTTAAACCATTAATATTTACTCCTTATCTCGAATAAGATATATATAAATGCAAGATCAATCGACGTAAATTTTTGAAAAATTTATATTTAACCAGTTCATACACTAAATATGTACGTAATTTAGGTCGCGGGAAATGTAACTTATTATTTATTTATTCTTTTTTCACAACCTAAAGACCGCTCACCTTTCTTGGGGTATATCACGTATTAAATGAAATAACTGATGAGAATTTGTTGAATTAATTATTTATGTTTTTTATTATTTTAAATGATTTTATTTGCATAGTCAATGCCGAATGCGTCTCATAGCGTTTACCGTATGTAACGATCGAAACTCCTGAAATTCGGTGGATCCGATTTTTATGTGGGATTGTTTAAACTTGGAGAGTTGTTGACCCTTCAGAATCAAATTTTCTATGAACGTACGTTTGCTAATTTGACTGCTAGTAGAATCCATTAGCAAGAAAAACTTTTTTATAGAAAAAAAATATAGTCACAATTCAATCTCTCAATTTAGGGTTATGTTAAGGTCCGTAGGCAATATCACCTGTGACGACAACTATAATTAGAAATTATCATTTTATATATTTTATACTTTTATTTATATATTTAATTCAAATATTGGATTTATTCAAAAGAGCCGATAATGTGATCAATATCAACAAGTGGTGCAGATTTAGCAGAAATTTTATGGCGCAGTTGCAGTCTCCCGCTTTTTTTTTTTTTTTTTTTTTTTTTTTATAATCTCAATTCATAAGCGGACAAATTTTTTAATTTGCCTTGTTTTTCAAGATCGTATTTTTATTTAAGTTCATAATTAATTAGAATATTTAAATTATACTATATGTATTTGAACTTAAGAATTTTTTCATGGTAATTTGAACTCAAATTCATTAATTCCTTGAATAATTAGTTAACATTAAAAGATGAATGAGACCGTCATTGGTAAATTTGCTGTGGTAAACGCCATTTAATGTAACATGTACATGATCAATTTAAGTTATCGTCTCGTCGAAAATTAAAACGAACAGTACAGTTTCAACGATGATTATTGTTATTTTTGTTTGACGAACGCAATCATTACATCAAAAAAAATTTATTTTTTCCTTTTTTTTTTATTATGAAATTGAAGCATAAACTATATAAAAAAATTTCGAGATTTGTACCAAAACTTTTTTTAATAAGTTGTGGGTTCTGACGTGATTACACAAAAATTCTAAAATTTAACAAATTATGCAGATGACGTATTGGCTTCAACATTTTAGCAAGTGATATTATAAATACTAAGCTTTATTCAATCTTAAGGTTCTTGATTGTAGTATTATTAAAAAAAAAACCTTCTAAATTGATAAAAAACACGTATTGCGTTCAAGAAATAATTTTGTACATACTTTAACAACGATGCTGCATGACTTAAAAGGGTCAAAACTTCAATAAATTTTAGATGGAAATGACCCGAAGAAAAATTGCAACTCGAAAATTACTCGAGGTTTAAAATTTGGGTAATCACATGAAATTATGACATGACGATATCTTTTATTAACGTAAAAATGGCTAAAAGAATGTTTTATGAAAAATAATTTTTTTATTCATTAACGCGCGAAAGACACCATTAATTACATTGCCTTGAAAATAAAATGATCGCAATTTTTAAGTCAAAAAAGGTTCCTAATTACATAACTAAATTTTAATAAATCTAATGAACGTAAAGGAAATAAAAAAAGAGGGACGTAAATTTGATTCAATACAAGTTGTCATCAAAATCCGAAATTCCTAAAGCCAAATCACCATATCTCTTCATTACTGCAAAATGTTGAAATTCATTAACCAAATGATCCAATTTACAATGTTCCAAATTTTTAGCATTAAAATAACCATTAACATGATAAGCGAAATGTTTTATCTTTTTTTCCATAACGAATTCTTTCAAGACACCAAAGGTAGTATCAACATCACAAACATGATTGTTTTTGGCCAATAATGATTTTAAACCAACATGCATGATGTTACACAAAAAGTTGTACAGGTCATTTGGAACGACGTTAAGACATAAATTTAAATATTCTAGGGAATCCGGTAACGTTGGACCTAAACCTTTCAAAAGACTCGAACTAACTTGCAAACCATCTACATTAGTTGGGTGAAGTGTAAGATATTTAAGATTTTGGCTATTATGAGCGATTAATTTATATATTTGAGGAATGTTCTCATGATTGAATTTAGCTAAACAGAGATATTGAATTCTATCACAATAATTTATGATGCTCTCAAGAGCAATTTTTCTATCTGCAATTTCCCACAATTTTAAATCTAAATACTCTAGATAAGGACCGAATTCCTGAATTAACAAACCAATTCCTGAGCATTCATCTTCTACTCTTAAAGATTTAATCTTTAATGGTGTGAACGGTGTGGGAATAACAAACAATTGTTGAAAAACTTGAGCCGTAAGTCCCTTACAACGCATGAAACTGAGTGATTTAAGCTTCGTTTGACCAAAATGACCCTCGCATGATAATAAATTTGCAAAATCACATTTAAAAAAATGAACTGAGGTTAAATTTTTGGAAGGGTACAAAGCATTCACATTGTTATATGTGAAAGAAAGTGAAAAGGATAAAAGTTGTTTTTGCGATTGAATTATATTTGTTATATCGTTTGATAATGTCTCATCATAATAGTTCGAGCAAAAATTAAAATGTTTAATCGAAGAAAAAAATGATGGTAATGACTCAAGGAAAGGTTGAATGAGTTTAAGTTTCAAATCCAAATGATCGAATTCTAAATTTAAAATCTCAACGTCAGATATAAATCTTGGGTTATGTGAGATGATCTCACAGGTTTCAAACAAGAATTGACCACAAGAATTATCGATTTTTATACGTAAATTATTCAAAGAAGCATTATTAGATACGAATACTTTGAATAGTGAGATGCAAATAAATTCCATTAATTTTTTTAAAGATTCCGGATCTCTGTCAATTACCAAGCTTGTACTTTCAACATATTTTGATTGAAAGGTCATTTTATCTGTTTCATCTTGGTTCGATTTAGCCTTTTTCTTTTTCTTACTGGGCAAGGCGTGGTTCAACCAATTGACCGTGTGCAACTCCACTCGAAATGTATTTAAAGTTTTAATAAAGCTCGGATAATTGAATAAGGGTCTTTTAATTGGTTGAATGATAAAAATTCCGAATTTCCTTAATGACACCTTATCTTCCTCATTGAAGGATAACAGAAATGTATTAAAGAAATTGGGAGGACTGCTTTTTCGACCTATAATACGTTTAACAGAAAAGGGGTTTGCCCAGAGTATAGGTATTGAAATTTGACATAAAAATCGATTAACTAACACGCATGAATAAAGCGATTTAAAATCATTTCGTAATCGTTGCACAATATAACACGAGATATCTGGATAATCACCAGAAAATAATTTCGAAATTTTCATGTTTACGAAAGGGGGAAAGGAAACAAGAAGGGGAAAGCGAAAACGACAAGGCTGATGTATTGTTCTTCCATTTATTTATTTACTTGTTACATCATGTCGTCAGCCACTTGAATAAACTTTTACACAAACTATCTATTCAATTATTCATTTATATCAATATATGTGTGACGAGAAATGAATTTGTCAAAACAAAGATAAAAATTTACCGGCTATTCCAATTCCGGTCAAAGAATTAACAATATCAAATGATCCATGTTACTGTAAAAAAAATATGTACGTGTAACATGATCTTAAAATCAAATATTAACTGATCTTCGGTTGTTTAAAATCGAAGATTCCAATTTCAGTTAAATGAAATTCCACCCTTTTTGTTATCTTTTTTTGCTTTTTGATGATGTGGCAATACCAGTAACTTTATTAATTTATATAAAAGAAATACAAAGTAAATTAAATAAATCTATCTAAGTACTAGCTATCCCCCATAGTTATATTACAAACCCATTTGAATCAACCTATTATCATCTTTTACCTCCAATAATCCCATTAAATGCATAAAGAAAATTGCTATCTACA